CACCCTTCTTTCCTACTTCTCTGGTGCTCACATGTTCTGCCAAGCTTCAAAGTGAAGGTTTGGTAAAAGTTTGTAGAGGGAGTCACATGCATGATGTGAGCACACTATGCTACTATTGGTTAAAAGATGACACATGATTTGCATGAGAGACATGTAATGTACTAATTCCAACAAGGGGGAGCGCAAGGCTTGTGACATGTGTAAAGAAAATGTTTGCATATAGAGTGCAGCACTGAACGAGAATAGCTAATCTTGTGAGGAAAGGTAACTACCTATTGGAAATACATTTTCAGTATAGGAAAATTATAACTTCTTACCAAGTGTAAACCTTTTCTTTGGGATTGGGCAAAAAAAAGTCTCAAACATATATAAGTGTATTGTGTATGAGCTGTCATTATTTTTTGGTATTGTATCTTAGAAAATACTTGTGTTTAACATTAATGTTAAGAATGTATAATTTTTTTTGTCAAAACATGATTAGGATTATGTCATAGATAGTGTAGTACTTAGAACATGAACTTTTGAGATCTTAATGGATTAAAATTGATTTATTTAGTATACATGCCATCATTTCCTGCACTATCTGGAGTGTTGTCCTTGGCATTCTTCATCCATAATTGTATCTTGTCTCTTTGTCGGAACCAGAAGAAACCTGAAAACAATGTAAGCTTCTGAAATTGTCGTAGTGTATTTTTACTATTTCAAGAGAGGGTATTATTAAGTTTTTTACATTAAGAAAATAAGGTAACGATGTGCTTCATTTTATTTTATTTAAATACAAAAAATCATGGTTGCAAATGAACTATAGAATGTTTCAATAGAGATTATTACTTTTTAGAGACAATTTAACTTTATCACGAATTAGAAGATAGCTGATGTTAAAAAGTCCCATGTGTACATTGGTTACTAAGTTTTCAAAGATGTCACCACATTTTCTATGAAATACATGAAAACCTGATTAAACAAGATTCAGGGTATAAGCAAATTATACTTGAAAGAATCACTGCCTTGATAAGAGTACATGAAAATTCAGAATATAGGTCTTTGTGGATATCAGGAGAAGCTCCTCACACTCAGTAGTGAAAATTTCATGAATTATGTTGAATCCACATAGCATACTTCATGAAAAAACACAAATTACCATCAATTATGTTGAATACATGTAGCATTCTTTGTGAAAGAACACTAATTACCTTGAAATGTTGATTCTATGTAACATACTTCATAAAATAATACAAATTACCAGGAAAGAAATCCATCATCAAAAGGCATTATCCTCACAGGGGCCAGTAGAACATTATCATGTTATGAAGATGAAGCAATCTATCAATGTACTATGCTACAATTTATGCCAGTCTTGTCATATGGCATGATTTACTGTATGAAATCAATCTCATCTGCAAGCAGCTGCAAACTAGTAACCTTTACAAGTCTTGAGCTATTCCGCAACTACAAAAATCAACAGATCTCCATCTGTTTAGGACTGAAAGAGACATTTCAAAGGCATCAATGGTTGTAAGAGAAATGAGATTCATTGAATTTTTGTGGAAAAATAATACGTCCACTCATAAAAAATATTATTTTCTACAAAAGGAGCCAAACTTCTAGGTCAGTTTATTTAACAAAATTGCCAACACAGCTATTGAATTCATGAAAGAGAGGTTTCAACAAATACAGGAACACAGCTGATTGTTCAGCTTTGTGTACTGCTTTGTTGACTTGTAAAGAATGAGCTCAAGGGATTTTCCAAAGCACTGTATGGATCTTTAAATCAGTTTATCTTATGAGAAGGCATCTGACTTCAGTGTAACAGAACTCTGTGAAGCATTGCAAGCCCTCCTATGAAAAGTGGTTAAAATTACCTGAAAAAAGTAAATTGGAATACATGTGTAAGAACATATCAGCATCATCATTTCCCAAACCTTTGTCATATTGAGAATTCAGCTGACTTCGCCAATCACCATTACTAGTGGATAAACAGGCTTTACCAAATTTAACCGTGATATAAACAAGATTGGTTGAACTGGCAACAATTTCAGTTTTATTTCCTCAATATTCATACGGTTTTGTAGCAAAATTGAAAATAAAATTGAAGGTGGCTATGAAAACTTGCTTATGGTAGTAAAATAGTTAGTATTCTGCCTGTTTATAGGTAGGTCTCTAAGTTTTCTCACATATTTTACAACTAGGCTATTGGATTCAAGGAACATTTTAATAGTTGACTTGAAAATTTGATAAAAAATGTAGATGTAAAATTCAAAACTGCATGTACTTACACTTTTTTTAGGGAAGGTAAACATTTTACATACAATATTTATCAATATCTTAAATTAATGTTCTACATTTCTGTTCATAATTGTATAATTGCATTTCAGGTCTCAATTTTTAATCATCAGATCAACTAGTAAATTATTTTTCTTTTTAGGTTAGGGATATAACCATAGCATTTATGCTGGTGTGTATGACATATCTTTTCATTGGTGTACTGCTGTACATTACATTTCCACTGAAGAAAGTTTGTATTGCTGATGTAAGTATGTTGTCAATTTATTTAAGAAGTTGCTGAAAAATTCTGTTCATAAAAAAATTTTAAATACCAGTATTTTACAGCTTTTTATAATAAATATGTTATGTATTATAAAATGAAACATTGGTCAGATGGACATGGTGTCTTATTATTTAAAACTGTTAACTGAAAAGCAACATTTTGAACAGTAAACTTCACCATTTAAAAAGAGCATGGGAATTTAGTAGAAATATGAAAGAAACTGTGAGTATCTAAATTAAAAGCATAAGATATATATCTTGCAGTTTCATATTAACAAGAAACTGTTTCTGAAGAGTGCATAAATTCCATTTCCTAGTTATTTGTTGGTTATTTTCAGAAACATAATTCAGTCACAACTAATGGTTATTACATAATTTATTCTATATTGTTTGTCTTTTATGTATTTACTGAAAAAAAATAAAATAATGTAACCAGACAATTTCTAATCCAGAACAAATCACATTTAATTAACTTATTAATTTGCTTAGCCTGAAGAGCCAGGTGTTAACAATAAATTTATGTCCATAGCAGGAAGGACTGTCTAACCCTAAAATAGACCAATAGTTAATGCAAAATTAAAGGCCACATTCTAATTCTAACTGTAAACTGTTAGAACAGTCAATTCAGAAATGCTATTCACATATCCACAGAACTTAATTATTACCTTGTGTCACTGTCAAAAAAAAATTTGTGTGCATATGCCAAGTTTTGAAAAAGACTCCTACCCCTACACATATTAACCCTCTTCCCATGGGCATCTTTTTCTGTGCATGTCACAAGGTTTTAGTGAGTTACATTTAAAACATAATTAAGACTATTTTTTATCATGATATACGAATAAATTTGGCATAAAAATGTAACTAATAATCCAAATTTTGATAGTATATAAATTTTAAGTTCTTAGTTTTATAAGGCAATATTAAAGAAAAATCCTGTAAGAGAATTGTGACATTTTCTCTCTAGTCGTCCCCTTTTCTTTAATTTATTCCCCTCCTCCCAAGAAGTCCAAAATTTAATGCAAATTATCTATTATAATTTTGTCATCACTCAGACAAAGCATAATTTTCATAGCCTTCAACCTTATTTGGATAGAGAGCTATCAAATAGAAAATCAAACCCACTTGCCACACCTACTTGTCACATTGTCAATAGTTCTCTCTGACATTTAATACTATATTATTTATAACCAATAGAAAGCCAAGGTTTGAATCTGTCAAATGACATATTATATTACATTGTTTTTTTACAGAGAATTGTCAGTTTCACTTACATTTCAAGCTTTATTCCCATGGGAAACACATCAATGATTTTAGATTAATTTTTAATGGCTCTTATTGCATAGTTAGAAAGCCTGCTGAAAAATTGTGACAGTTATGAGATATTGTCTGCTTTTTGCATGTTATTATTCTGCATTCTTCTGTGCATTATTTAATTAAACTATTCCTTATGCATTAGTACCACTAGGATAAAAAAGTAGGGTTAAATATCCTCAACAGTTGACAGCAAAAAAAATAAGACCCAGGTAAGTATTAGGTCATCAAGAAATTAATGTTGCTTTTTTTAGGTGAAAAACCCAAATAACTTAACATTTATTAAATGAAATAGTCTCCATTCTTATTGATGATGCTATTCCATCTTACAATCAGATTGTTAAAGCAAAAAACATGTTGATGGCCTCTTTAACACCTTCCACATTAGCATACATTTTCCCATTAAGATGGTGTTGTAGCGAACAAAAAAAGATGGTAATCTGATGGTGCCCTATCTGGAGAATATGGTTGGTGGGGGAGAACTTCCCAACCCAACTCCCTAACCTTGTGTTGCATCAAATGTGCCACATGTGGAAATGCATTGTCATGGAGAAGAAGAACAAGGCATTTCTGATGAAGGGCTTGATTTAAATGTCCCAGTTGCTGACTATAGATCTCTGCATTGACAGTTCGCTGTTAATTGAGGAGTTCGAAATGAATTATTCCTTTGATGTCCCACCAAATGCAAAGCACGACTTTTTGTGGATGGAGTCCAGGTTTTGGGGTGGGAAGTGGTTTTTGTCCAGGACTGATCCATTGTTTTTGGCATTTAATATTTGCATAGAGAATCCATTTTTCATCACCAGTGACAATTCTATCCAAAAATGGTTCATGCACATTATGCACCAGAAGAAAAGAAGCAATGTTCACACATTGGAAATGATGATCATCAGAGAGTTTGTGAGGCACCTAAACACCTTCTTTATGGAGTTTTTCCATATTCCTTAGATGTTTACACATTTTTCCATGAGAGACATGCAATTTGAGGGCCACTTTACGGGTGTGCTTTCTTGGGTTAGACTCAACAAATCTTCAGAGCATCAATATCAATTCCAACATGTTGCCCCTGCCCTCACAGTTTTTTAAGGCTATTTTTTGATATTCTTTGTGGCTACAGAGGCGTTGTTTCCCTTCTTGTATTCGAACAGCATTACATGCCAAACGTGTGCCATCACTATAAGGGATTAGAGTATACTAAACTTTACACATTATATAGGCTACACTAACATTTAGGTGGTTTGTTTAAATATTATACATGATGTACATTTTATTGGGGGGGGGGTAATGAAAGTGTACCAAAATGCAACATTAATTTCTTGACAACCTAATACTTTGTCTTGTTTCTCATGTGTATTCTTTATCTATTATTATAATAGTAACTAAAATGTAAAAATTTGAAACTTTTTTTAGATTAGGTAAAAGGAATAATGATAAAAATTTCTTATGATGTATGATGTATACTTGCAAGCAACTCCTGAGTAGCTCTTATATAATTTAATTTGATAACGTAACATTAGTTGCATGTTGGCCAAGTGATTTACAACTTGTATGGTGCAAATATTAGTTAGATATGATTCAAAAGCCAATAAAGCAATAAAATTAAAGTATAAACAGATGTTTACTGTTACAAGTTTAAAGCTATTTAGGATAAACAAATGTAGTTTCATGTTACAACTTGAAGTCATTCTAGAAAGAGAAAAAGGGTAATTTAGATTTATTTCGATTTTGACTAACCTTGTATAGAGTTGGAGTAGAGAAAATAACAGATAAGATATAAAATTTTACTGGAAAAGCATTTGAAATTTAATTAAGAGGCTTTAGATATTGAGCAAATGAAATTTCAGATTTTTAAGATGAAGAAAAGTATTTTTAATCTTAACATGAAAATCAATTTGCACATAAACTAGTCCAAAAAGATTTGATATATTCATGGACAAATCTTTAGTAAAAGTACTTCATTAAAAAATCTGATATTTTGGGTACAAAAGACATGTAATGTTTACTGAAAGTCTGCCAAATTTTGTGAAGATTCACTTACTGCATTAAAAGTTATAATATAGAAACTGTAATGAGTACTCCATGGTTACGAACTCAGTCAATTCGACTGAGTTTGTAGCTGTAGAGTTAATGTGTACTGCATTAGTTTCTGATGTAATAATCATTAGACTATAGTTCTCCACCACTAGGAGGGTGACACATCCTCAATGCACAGTAAACCCTATGAGCACTTGTGTTTGAACAAAGGCTTATCTTTTTCCTCAGCACTGCTTGATTAAAAATGTTTTTCATTAAGAATTATTAAAATTTTGCTCTTATTATCTTACACTTTGGTTACCATTTCTAGTGCCATTTTTCTTACCTATATTTTATTGATTATGAGAAAGAAAGCTGTAAAGTTTTAAACATTTGAGTTTAAATTTTCTTCTCTCAATCAAATTACAAGAATTTGGGGCACATACCTATCAAATATTACAGGTTGCCCATAGTGAATACGTTTTTTTTAGAAGCCCTATGGCTATATTACTATTTACTGAGGATTCAATGTCATGCCTAAGTTTTCACATTTTTCTCATAAAATAAAGTATTATTATCATAATTTTTGTTTCTTTTCAGTTCCTTCCAATAATACACCACTGTATCATTGCATATGAGCAATTGTATCAACATCACAACTTTTCTGTATCAGAATGGTGACTCCTGCAAGAAAACAAGTGTCCAGGGAAAGTGTAAAAGTTTGTGGGAAAATGAGTTATCTTGCAGTCCTATGGGTAATTTAAGAAAATTATGAGCTTTCATGCTAATAATTATGACATACCAGGCCAACTTTAACAAAAAGTAACTCAAAAAATATAACAACTAAACAGTTTCATGGATGATCTGGATTATGAATTAATGTATCCATGTTTCTGACATCTTCGGAGGTTCTGAAATTTTATCAACAGAAGCCATCTACTACTTCATTTGTGACTGGAGGCATTCTGATAATCAGTAGTATTACTGTTATTTTGCACCAGGTAATTGATTCCATTCTGATCTCTGATCCAGAGTACCCGACATCTTACTTCTGTTGCTTTAGCTGCCTGCCTCTTATTTAGACTAATTTGATTGACCATTTTTACCTACTACTTTTGCTTTCCAAAAAAGGATCAGGTAATCACACCTTTATCATTATCTGCTCTGATTACACAGGTATGTGAAATTTTTTTGTATTTCTGCAGTTGTTTTTTTCTGAATCTTGGGCTATCTTGTTGCATGAGCCATAATCACTTGAATCTCTTCTTTCTTTGAGATCTTCTTTATCTCACTCTCACCCTAATACTCTGACAGATTTAATGGGGAAACTTACTTATATCTGTTCTCCTCCTTAGTTTGATTTTTTTTTCTTTTTTCATTGAGTTCTAGTTATCTTGGTGTCTCTTTTTCTGAGTTTACATCATGAGAATGCCTCACTTTCTGAAATTTGGCTCTCTCAATTTTATTTCAGGGAATTCTTTGATGCACCTTTCCATTGTGTTAAGGTTTTGGAGGTGTTTCTTATACTTTGGAAGCTCAAGATAAGGCAACTTGTTATCAGTCATCTCTGCTTGCTTTCATTTTTTACAGTTATCAGACCACAGAGGTCCACCACATTTCTTGCCATCAAGAACCTCATGGGACCACCCTGTCAGGTTT